AAGAAAAATGCCATTTTTATGTTCCAGAAATTGAATTTCTAGGAATGATTATTGATCATAAAGGAATTCATCCATCCGAAGAAAAGTTGAGAGCAATTAAAGATGCCAGACCACCATCTAATAAAAGGGAATTGATGTCTTTTCTTGGACTTCTTAATTATTATGAGAGGTTTTTGAATAATAAAGCCACAGTAGCTGAACCTCTCCATAGACTGTTGGACAGTAATAGTCCATGGAAATGGAATAAAGAACATCAAAGATCTTTTGCAGAGGTTAAAAACTTGATTAGCTCTAAGTCTGTTTTAGCACATTTTAATGAAGATTTGCCTATCTTGGTCAACTGTGATGCGTCGGAGTATGGTGTTGGAGCCATTTTGTCGCAAATAGACCATGGTGTTGAAAGACCAGTTGTGTTTGCCTCCCGAACTTTAAATAAAACTGAGAGAAGATATGCAGTAATTGATAAAGAGGCATTAGCAGTCATTTTTGGTGTATCAAAGTTTTCACAGTATCTTCTAGGGAGAAAATTTAAAATTTTGACGGATCATAAACCCCTAGTTGGAATATTCAACCCCAAAAAGCCGATACCTCAAGTGCTATCGCCGCGCATGTTGAGATGGTGTTTGACTCTGGCCGCGTATACTTATAGTATAGAGTATAAACCGGGAAAAGTGAATTGTAATGCCGATGCACTAAGTAGACTGCCTTTAAATGAATGTCCAAGTGTAGTTCCGAACCCTTCAGAGGTGTTCTTTATAGAATCGGAACATGCTGCAATTAATTCTTCGGAAGTGGCAACACTAACCAATAAAGATCCAATCTTTTCTAAGGTTAAATTCTGGGCAATGAATGGGTGGCCTGAAAGGAAAGTTAATGATGGATTTAAAGATTTTGTCTCCAAATCTAGTGAAATATCAGTTCATAAGGACTGTTTATTGTGGGGGAGCAGGGTGATTATACCTGAAAGATTAAGAAAAGATATTGTATATCTTTTACATGATACTCACATTGGCATAGTGGGGACAAAAGCGCTAGCTCGAGGACTGTGCTGGTGGCCCAAGATGGATGGAGATATTGAACGGATGATATCCAGTTGTGTGGTTTGTTTGTCGTGTAGTCACGATCCGCCAAAAACTGACGTATATCCTTGGATTTGGCCATCAAGACCTTGGTCGAGACTACATATTGATCATGCGGGTCCTTTTCAAGGAAAACTTTTGCTTGTTGTAGTAGATGCCTATTCTAAGTGGATTGAGGCTAAAATCGTATCTACAACATCTACTGAAACTACCATCAATTGCCTAAAGGAAATATTCGCGACCCACGGGTTGCCGGATGTGATAGTTTCGGATAATGGTACGTCCTTCACATCGGAACTTTTCAGGACTTTCTTAAAAAGAAATGGCGTGAGGCACATCTTGTGTGCGCCTTATCATGCAGCGTCAAATGGGCAGGTGGAAAGAGCTATTCAGTCGCTTAAAAATCTGCTAAGAAAGAACAGCTCGGGAAATTGGACGACTAGGTTATCTAGATCGTTGTTATCCATGAGAATAGCTATAAACAGCACGACGCAGAAATCCCCAGCACAGTTGTTGATGAACAGAAACCTGAAGAGTCTCATAAATAAATTTCATCCTGAAGGTGTGTCGGAGGGAAGGATGCGACAGGAGGACAGGTTCATAAGAAATTGGAAACCCCATAGAGTGGTAAATGAAGGACAGGCAGTTATAGCACGAGGGCACCATGGCCCCAGATGGCTACCAGGTGTAGTGCGGGAAAAAACTGGTCCTGTTTCTATTAAGGTGGAGACAGATGAAGGTGAAATTTTAAACAGGCATTTGAATCAAGTCCGAGATTGTGGAGAAAGAGAAGCAACTCCGTCTACATCGGCAACTCCACAAGAGTCAAATAATATTGAAGACCCCCAAGCTGGTCAGGAAATAGATCCTACTGGTGAAGCGTCGAGTCCTATTTTGAGAAGGTCCTCAAGATTAAGAAGGCCTTCGAAGTTTTTTGAAATATAATTTTTTGTTGTGGGGAGAAGTTGTTATGTATTAATATTCATAGATATTATTTATCATCATCATTTGCTTGTATAAATACTTTGTTTTTTAATTAAAAATCTATGTATGCAAAAATGACTAGCGTTGCGTCGTAAATCTCTTAAACTAGAAGATACATAATAATTTCTTTGGGTAACTGTAGATACCCGTGCAATCCGGGCAGAGCATCGTGGCCGAGTGGTAAAGGTGATGGACTATAAATCCATTGGGATCTTCCCGCACAGGCTCAAATCCTGTCGACTGCTTTTTTTTGGGGGGGGGGGGGGGTCGGTGAAAGGCTGGTTAAACCATTTGGTTTTCGACCACTACGACCCGGGTTCAATTCCCGCATTGGACACTTTTTTTCTGTTAAAAAAAAAAAATGCTCCAATGGCCCCCGATTCTTGCAAAAGTCCAACTCCACCAGCGAGTGCAAGTAACCAAACGGAGCTCTGGCACATTTGTAAGTGCAAATTCGAACTGCTTTTCAAATGTGTAGACATGTGGTGCGCTTACAGTAAAAGCAGTCGCTAACTACCCACCATGATTATCATGTCTTTGAGATAAGAAAGAAGAAGAAGAAGACTTGTGTTTCTTCTTCAAAATAAAATGGCTTCCATACCTAATGTCTGGTGGTCCTGCGGAACCTACCTGAAGTCCCCGCAGTTCGAACTTGGTGAGGTGCACCCTGCGAGGGGGCTTCCAGATGGGCTTGGGGGTTGCCAGGGCGGGGGCAGAGAGGGAGAGCTGGCTGAGGTCGGCAGGGAGCAGGGCAGCGGCAGGCTCCTCCACAGGGGGTGGGGGCTCCACGACCAGGTAGTTCTTGCCCAGCAGGCAGTGGACATGTCTTTGGAGCACGTACCACATCATCTCTGTGAAGAATGGGTAGCGAAACTTTGTCCTCACCTGCCACAATCATCATCTAAGCTTGGTAATGTGACAAGTCTTTCACATCCTCTTTTTTTTTTTATTATCCTATTGTATAATTATACAAGTCATGGAGACTGAATTCATGGATTATATTTACAATCTTGGTAGGGTTGGAATATAGGTCCTGTCTTGAGGCTTCCATGCATTCTAAAAGATGGTCTGGTGAGGCCTATTTGGTCCTGCAGATTGTGGGAAGGTCATCACATCCTCTGGGAGGGCTGAACCACCCTTTCTGTTTTACCAACTATCACTTCTTCACCATACTCTGTCTGCAGTGCACATTTGATATATTACAACATGAAGTTGCAGGAGGATGATCTTCATGTATCAAAAAAGTCACCTCTCCCTTTATTTGGTTTTGGAGAGATTGAAAAAATAAATGCCATGTTGTTGTTGTTTCTTATCCCCTTGTGTAAAGATTACACGAATTCCATGAGTTCATGCTCCTCGAGCTGTTTTATGATGATAAGCGGCCTCTTCCAAAGGTCCTGTTTAGTGCATCTAATGCAAGCCAAAATGTGTTCTGGAGCTGCAGGTGCTAAGCTACATTTTGGGAAAATAAATGCCATAGTTAGTGGAATTGAAGAAGTTTAATCTGGATATTTTGGTTACATGTGATAACCCCATGGTGGGACTGCTGTAAGTGCACCCACCATAGGTCTGTAGAAAAGAATTTGACTTGGAGGCCATTCACTGTGTGGAGGGTTAGTGTAATCTTCAATTATAAAAATGCTTAAAGTGGGACTTGTCCCAATTCCCCTTTATCTCTTCTTTCTTATTTCCACTCAATCATATCAGGGCCGGTAGAGGCCTGCTAGACTGAGGATGAGTCATAGTTCCTTTTTATAATGGAAACCTCTGTTCTCTTTTTGGAGGAAAAAATATTTGTTTGAGACAAAGTGGCAATGCTTTAACATATCTATTGGTCTGTGACACCAGGAACTTTGCTGAGGGAATCAAATAAAGCTTGTAAGCATTACTATCAGAATACTATGAAAGCATCCCTAGTTCTCAAAGCATATAGTTTGAACCTAATAGAGTTACTTTGATAAGTTCCAATGAAAACCGATGCTCTATTATTTCCAACTTTATTCCTCCTACCACCTTCTCCATATAAAAAAACCAACAAAATCTACCCCCACAATATAGCTTGGCACCTGCAGCTCCAGAACATATTTTGGCCTGCATTAGATGTACTAAACAGGACCTTTGGGAGAGGCTGCTACTTATCATCAAACAGCTTCGAGGGGCATGGACTCATGGAATTTGTGTGATCTTTGCACAAGGGGATAAGAAAAAATAAAAAGAACATTCAGTACTTTTGTCTGAAGATGGTAACAACGCTGTTACCGAAACGTCACACACTATTTATTTATTTGGATTTGGTCTTATTATCTTGTTATATAATTAAAAGGAATATTTTCAATCTGTTGTATCAACAAGTGGAGATGTGGCCAGGAGTGTCCTAACAACAAAGTTCTACTCACTCTAGTGCTGTCCTCCACCTCAGCTACCCGGATTTGCATGTCAGCTCCAAAACTGTGGAGGAAATTCCCTCCAAACACCATGCTGTCGACTGGGGTGTACACCGCGTGGATCCAGCCTGGAATAACACATCACACTTCTTGCTTACCTCCATTCAATCTTATTAAGGTATCTGCTAGGGGTAGAGCTCATCAATGGATTATCTATTGATCATGTGGTTAGGGTTTGCAGGTTGCACTTAGTACATATTAGAGGAAAACCTTGCACTCACTCTAAAAGGTCATTATTCGTAGAAGACTAGACTTAAGTCTGGAACTTCTGCCCAAGGACTGGCTGTATCCTTGGGAGAATGACGTATCTTTATGAGCTATGGCTAAGATGGACGCTACGCTGCTGAAGCCATTGTTATTACATCATGCACAATGGTGTCTGACAGTGGCAAAATATACACTTGTAGCACTTTTTTTCTTATCCCTAGTACACATAGTACAGGCCATGATAATCATGGTGGGAATAAGTAGATGACTGCTTTTACTCTAAGTGTACCACATGTCTACACCTGTGAAAAGCAGTTTGACTTTGCACTTATAAATGTGCCAGATCCCCATTTGGTTACTTGCACTCGCTGGTGGGGTTTGATCAGAAAAAAGTGCACAATGCGGGAATAAACCCAGGTTCGTAGCTGTCGAAAACCAATGGTTTAGACCAGGGGGTGGCGAACTTAAGGCCGCATGTGGCCTTTTCTTACCCAAGTTGTGGCCTTTTCATAAATTCAAAATTATAATTTTTGTTTCGCAGTTTTCAATTACTTTCATTATTTTATTGAAAATATCTAATACGAATGTCATATATTATATAATATATAATATTTATAAATAAATATGGAATACTGCAGTTATTTATACTCATCTAAGACAACACGCACAAAGAATTCTTTCATGTTTTGGAAGTACATATTGCTGCGAGGCAACATTTTCATACATGGCTCAAATTAAAACCTGCCTAAGAAGTCAAATAAGTGATGTTCATTTGGAAGATCAATTTAAATTACGTACGACGTCAATTGAACCAAATATTTCTTTCTTGTCATCCAATAAACAACCACAGAAATCCCATTAAATTTTCTGGATTGTAAAATCAAATGTCAAATTTTTTGGAATTTATTAATTGTATATAATTTTGAGAAAATAAACTATTTAATTGCAAAGAAAATTATGTATTTTAATTTTGTATATAAATCCCTTTAATTAAATCGTACATATATATATGGATGCGGCCTTCTCAAAAATGGTAAAATGAAAATTGGCCTTCTAATATAAAAAGGTTCGCCACCCCTGATTTAGACCATCCTTCCACCAACCCCCAATTGTAGCACATACATAACAGAGGAGAAACTTGATGCTTGTTCCCTTGGCACTGTACCAGTTGTGTGTTGTACATTATTGTTGGCCTTGACAATACGGAGGAGGTCTCTTTCATCTACTATTGTGTCAATATAAATCTACTATAAGGATTCTTCCATGAATGACCATCTCTGTGAACAATCTACAATCGCTAAAGATTGATTTTTTTTTGGTCCATCATGAGTAACTGAAAATTCTGGTTAAAAAATATTGATTTCGAAAATTTTAAATAATATTAAAAAATAAAAAAAATACTGCGATGCAATTACTGAATGCTTTACAAATGGTTTTTGCAGATATGCAATACAAAATGTTTCTGATAATGGCAGTGAGGACCTAACACTGATGCATTCTACCAGTCAGTCAAAGACAATTCTCTCACCAATCCCTCTTGGTTGTCGTAAAGATAGAGGCTACCTGGCCGGTATTCATATTTTTTTTAAATAAAGATACTTCGGCCAGTAAATCTTTTGTCCTCATCAGGAGCAAACAAAAATTAAAACATTTAGCAAGGTGTTAAAAATCATTTGATTGAAAAGAATGATTTTTAACGCCTTGCTAAATGTTTTTTGTTTGCTCCCTCTTTGTTGTGTTGACTTTAGAAGAATGGCCTTACTGAGGAGAGAAAACCACACATACACAGTACTATAGATAGAAAACTTAGAGAGATTTGGTTGTTTTCCTATTCTGGCTAGTGAGTTTCTACAAGTCCTCCTTTAGAAAAGAGACCCTCCTCAGTATGTCCTCACCTGAAGGGATGAAGAAGGTGTCCCCCACAGAGAGGGAGATCCTGGCACACTGCTCCACGGTGTCTCCAAAGAAGATGTCCGACTGTTTCCCAGAGAGCACCCACTTCTCATAGAGGAGGAGATTTTTCTCTGTGGGTGGGATGAGCCAAAATATCTGACAACCAAGAATGTGAGGTGGGCAGATGCAGCAGGTGACACTGTGTGTTACCTTTTGTCCTTTGAAGATGTGGTACCAGACAGAGCTGCCTCCGAAGTCAATGTGGAAGTCAGTGTAGCAGCCCTTCACACTCATCAGGCAGTACCTGGACACCAACACTTGTGTCATCGGTGGAGCAACAGTTGAGCAAGTGCTGCTATTACATCCACTATCTAATGTTATAAAGTGGTAGGGGGGGGTCAATGGAAGGATGGTCTAAACCATTGGTTTTCGATCGCTACGACCCGGGTTTGATTCCCACATTGGGCACTTTTTTTCTGATAAAAAAAAAATAAAAAAAAAAAAAATGCTCCAATGCGCCCGATTCTAGCAAAAGTCCAACCCCACCAGCGAGTGCAAGTAACCAAACGGAGCTCTGACACATTTGTAAGTGCAAAGTCGAACTGCTTTTCACATGTGTAGACATGTGGTACACTTACAGTAAAAGCAGTCGCCTACTTCTACCCATCATGATTATCATGGCCTGTACCACGTGTACTAGG